AGAGAGAGAGAGAGAGAGAGAGAGAGAGAGTTCAATAATTGAGAACTGAGAAGTGAATGTTAAGATTGGAATAAAATCGTTATAGTTTCAAAAAAAAGAGAGATGGGTGGTTGACTCACGTGAATGTAAAAGAACAGTAAGAAAGAAGTATCGGATAGGTCGAACTAATGCCAACAAAATAATATAAAAGTTGATTTATGTGCCCAAGGGTGTATGAACGCTCAGACAAACTTTTACTAAGAACTCAAAATTTATTTTTATTTTTTTTAAATACACTTTCTAAAAATAGATCCCCATATTTACATGAAATACTATTGGTAGATTGTTTTCTTGATGGACCAAATATACAATGTGTCCTTATGGGTGCACATTAGAAAATACTAGTGTTATGCACATGCGTTGGATGTGGTATAATTTATTTAAAAAATAATTGTCGATATGAATCACCATCACCACCATTATTATCATTAGCATTATCTTATTGAATAAATGAAATATTTATTTATTTATAGATATTATTAATAATATACCATATAAATATTATTAAATAAACATTTACTACAGTGCGGGGCTCATGGCCTTCTCCTTGAGACTTCGTCATCCGAAGAGGGTAGAAGGGATTTAGGTGAAGAGGGCCATTAGAGCTGGTTGCCCCGACCGCCTTGGTCACTTCCTTGGTCAGAATTCACAAACCTCTATCAGCTTAGCTTTGAGGCTTTGATGAACCTCGAGCCAAACTGTGATCGGGATTGTGGCTGGTCTTGCACAAGAGAGAGCTATCTCCATCAGATGCGGCAAAGGATGAGGGCCAGGGACTGAGGTCATCTTGGGCCGAGAAGGATGAAGGACTCAATCTTTTATCAGGTCTTTGCCCTGAGCTTTCTTGCAGGCTCCAGAGACATGACAAAAATGAGGAGGCTGGTTCAGGATGATACTCTTGGGGAAGGTCTTCAAGTACCAAGGCTGAAGGTGCTTGCTCGAAGAAGAAAGAGCAGGCAAAGGCATGGTTGACTCATGAGGACGCCTGAGTCAAGGGCGAGGGGCTATCTGAAATGGCGACGCATGTACGCCCCTCGAAGAAAGATCACGGGAGACCTGGGGGTCAGCCTGGGCTCAAGCAAGTGGTCTGGCCTTAGGAGGAGCGAGTGTCTATAAGAGATCAGGTGGAGGCCTGCCCCTTACATGGTGCGCTTGTGTGTGCTAAGTAAGAGGACGAGGAGGTCGTCTCCTATGTACTCAAGTTGGCGCAATGACGGCATTGCCCCGAGCAATAAGATGCATGTGAACAGCGTGCGTCGGACCTGGCCTTGAGAGGTTTGATCCTGGATGCTGACTCGAGGTAGCATAAGGGTTGCCTTGAGGTGTGACTCGAGTGGGTGACCCACGAGTCTTGTGGTGTGTGTGAGAGGTGGAGGCCGCAGGGTCTCCGCCTCTGTATGTTGAGCCTCTAGGGATAGAGATTCGTTGTGGTACAGGAATTTGGGGACTTAGGGATTTTTAGGTCCCTCCCCACGCCAATCCAGGTTAAGACCAGGGAGCTAGACCCAGGGTCTTTGCTCAAAAGAAGGGTTGGGAACAAAGTTAAGGAACTTGTTCCCTGGGGACACTCGCGAATGCGGGGATGAGAAAATCCTCAATCCGAATGAATGGGTTACAGAACCCAACAGCCATAAGTGATGTGCAGATATAGAAAATAAAAGGAGAAACTTAGCCAAACAAGTATGATTCAACTAAGGGGTAGTAAGTCCCCAATGGAGTCACCAAGCTGATTAGGTTCCTCGATCTCGCCCTCTGGATCTAGATGATCGGGTGGCACACGTCTTGGGTTATGGGGAGACCCAGGATTCGGTAATTGTCGGTAATGATTGATTCAAGAACACCAAATTTGAATGCAATGTTGTTCTTTATGAAACGGGCAACATGTTGCCCTTCAATTTTGACAAATGATGCGGCCTCTACCCATTTTGTGAAGTATTTTGTAGCCGTTAGTATGTAACGGTGGCCATTCGAGGCTTTTGATGAAATTATTCTGATAATATCACGACCTCACATGGCAAAGGACCATACGGGCGATGTTGAGTTAAGTGGTACAAACAGTGCGTGAATGAGGTCTCCATAGAGCTGACACTTGGGACACCTCTTAACGAATTTCCAATATTCTTCGGCCATGGTGGTCCAATAATAGCCTAGGCATCTGATTTTCTAAGCTAAGGCAACTACCCCGGAGTGACTTCCTTCATTGTGTAATTTTGTTAATACCTAGTTGATTTCTAACTAATCGAGGCACCACAAGATGATGCCATCAAAGGATTTCTTCAACAGAAGATCATCTCTTACTAAGAAACCCATAAAAAACCTTCGAATGACTTTCTTATCCTTTTTGGTGACTCTGTCGGGGTATGACTCATCTTTCAATAGGGACAGCACATCGTGGAACCATGGTTTCGCTTTGACTAGTGCATCTGAGGCCATGAAAGACACTTCCTCATCGTTCCCATTTTATTGCTCTATTTATTTTTCAATCCTTGGTGGGGAAGGGTCATGCTTATGCCTAATGTAAAATGGCAGCGTGGTGACTTCTAAAGGAATGTCAACCATTGAAGCAAGGGTTGCAAGGGTGTCGACAAACTGATTGTTTTTCCTAGTTACATGGTGGAAGGTGATCTGCTTAAAATATTTTATCATCTTTTCCACATTTTCTTGATAGGGTTTTAATTTTTCTTCTTTGGCCTTGCAAATCCCTTGAACTTGGTTTATGACGAGCAAGGAGTCACCAATGACTCTTATTTGCTGGATCTTTAGTTCCATGGCATTCTCAAGTCTGGCTATCAAGGTTCGTATTCAGCAATGTTATTGGTACATGGGAAATTTTGTCTGATGGTTGTTGGCATTAAAATCTTTTCAGGTAAGCATAGTATAACCCCTACACCTGACACGTATTCGTTCTTTGTACCATCAAAGTATAACTCCCAAGTTGAGTCCTCAATTGTAAAGAGGTCATCATCAGGGAGATCCATGTTAATGGGATTGTTATCTGGTAGTGCGTGTCAGTTAAGTGGTCAGCAATGGCTTGTCCTTTGACTGATTTTTTAGTGACATATTCGATCTTGAACTCACTCAATAGCATTCTCTACTTTGCTAAATGTTCGTTAAGGACTGGTCTCTCCAATAAGTACTTGATTGGGTCTATTTTTTAAATGAGCTTTGACTGTATGAGATATAGTATCCTAATTTTTGCATAGCCCTCACAAGCGTTAGGCAATGCTTATCCACATCCATGTATCTCTTCTCATAGTTGACCATAGTTTTGCTAATGTAGTACATGATTTGTTCTTTTTCATGCTCATCGTATCGTCCTAACATTGCCCCCATGGTCTTGTCTTTCACATATATGTATAGGAACAAAGGTTTGTCTGAATTAGGATGACCAAGGATGGGAGGTTTGGTTAGGTACTCCTTGATTTGGTCGAACGCCTCTTGCCATTCATTATCTCATATGAATGGGTATCTTTCTTAAGGAGCCTATTGAAGGGTGTGCATTTATCTGCCAGCTGTGAGATAAAACGCCTTAATGGCTTGTATGCGGCCTTGAAGCCCACAAATTTCTCTGATGGTCCGGGGAGAGGGAATTTCTGTGATGGCTTGTATTTTGGACGGGTCCGCCTCAATGCCTCTTTGGCTTACTATATAGCCTAGTAATTTGCCGGATTCAACTCCAAACGCACATTAACTAGGATAAAACATAAAATAGATAACAGTTTGGGAATTTGATTTGATGAATTCTTAGTCATAAATATATGCTTATGGTTCTTATGGCATTAGATTATATGCATAAGTGTTTGATAATATTTTCAAATAAAATAAAAAGAGATATCTTGAATTGATTTTGCTTTAATCCACATTAGTAGCCACTCTAAATCGATCCTAATGGCCATTTGTAACCCACTATTTAAACAACTAAGAGAAATCTACCGCATCTATCCAATTTTTCTATGCATAATAGTTTGAACTTCATTTTCCAGGTTCCTTGTCTCTTGTTTTTCTACTACCGTCACTTAACTGCAACCTATGAACTTCCACTATTTCTATCTGAGATTTCTTTACAACTTGATATTTCAATTACAGATTCTTTTAAAACTTGGAGCAGATTGAAGCTATCCGACCTACACAGTTCTTCACTATGCTCAGTCGTATCCTAAGGTATTCTCCCATAACCGAATTGCATCTTGGATATTCCAAGTAGTGGGTGCTAAATTCATTGAAGATAGCGAGAGCATCTAGTGCGCCTACGTCCAATAATTGAAGCAAAAAGGTCCTTGTTTGGGTGTGTTTCGGATCAAAAAATCCAAATGAACTTAAAACACTAATTGCTCAAAGATCAAAGCTTGTCTAAAAGAGTTAAGCACGGAAGCCCAAAAATATTTGATCAACCTTAAGGCCCAAAGCCTGGGAATTAATATAGAAGTCTTTTTAGGGTTTAACATGCATCATGAGGTCAACTTTTGAGGTTCAGTAGCGTGCTCAAATATGACCATAAGTGTCTAACCTCCGGTCGATCTCGGAGCTCACTGTATCAAATCCAGATAAATATGAAACCCTCGATGCCCTCTCTTGGGGATCAACTAGAACCATCTCCATAGAGAGTAAGTTTTTAAATGGAGTAAGTTTTGAATTCGTACTTTGCTACTGATATTTTTACTAGTATACTCAGCATTCATATTAATGCAGAATTTTAAGTAGGCATTAAAACAAAAAACAAAACAAAAAAAGCTGGGTCGTAATCCGATGCAAGTCGGTTGTAGATAATTTAATGGAGTTGAATTGCCGCTCTTATTGTTTGAATATGTGCTCATATCCCCGTAAATGAAATGAGGTACATAAGGGAGTGTTTGATGAGTGAGAGTTGGGCCTATATATGTTTTGGGTAAGAAGGATCCGATGGCTTCTTGTCCGGCAAAAGTTTGTGCTCAATCGGGCAAAGGCATTGAGAAAAAGTGGGAGCCAATAGGTGAAAGTCGCAGCGACAACAAACAGTGGTGTAATGCAGGTTTGCTAAAAAAAAGTTGAGCGGTTAAAATTTGTTGAAATAAAAAGAAGAAAAAAAAGATAAATATATATATACGAAGAGACCATTTACTTTTTAACACAAGGTCAATTATTTTTGCTATTTGGATTTCCGATCGAGTGGTTGTGAATGCGTCATTTACTAGACTTGAAGTTAAAAAAATTTGTCCAAATTTCTAAACCCAAACCATCCAATTTGACATCTAATAACTATGAGTAATTGCGACTTATAAAAAAAATAATGATCTCATTGTATACAATCCCAAAAAAAATACCGGTAGGCTGCCGTAATATAGCAAGGTATCTTGGTTAATCAAATGGCAGTATCCCAAAAAGCTTTAAAGTAGTGCTACATTATCTTTAAACTTTAGAGATAGAATCTCATATAACTACTGCTGCAATGGTTCAAGTCCATCTTTCGAATCTAAAACGGATTTGTCAACATTAAAACTACCTTTTCCGATGGATTCTTGAGGTGCATCCATAGTTCTATAGTTCTACATTATAAGGTTGCATCCTTATATAAACTTTTTCCTTATTTCAGTTCCCCTGTTTAGGAAACGCTATAGATCAAGGCAGGATTCCTACCACTTGTTAACAACAAAACACCATGTTCGAATGGTGATCGTCTCTTCCACACTTAACTTATATGCAAACTACAAAAGTAAAAAATAAAATTGAAAAAATACAAAAATTTACTGGAAAAAAAGATTTGACTTCGAGATGAAGTACAAAACACGCTCTTTCTATGCTATGTACATGGGGACACAAACATTTGCGGACAGAACCTCTTCTGTCACACTTTCAAGCCAGTGACACAAAACTCGTGGCCTCAGTGGTAAGGAGGTTGATCCCACGCACCCATAGCTCTGCGCTCCACCCATCTTGAGCCACAAAATGCACCTCCCTTCCCTTCGTTGTCACCACCCTAAACAAACCTGCTGCATTGGCATCCCCCTTCCCCTTCCTCATCCGATTCTTCCGAAAAACAGCGCTTGCCCCCACCCTTGCCTCTTTGCACACCACATTCCTCCTCCCCGACGTCCCCCAACTCACCACGCTCCGCCCTCCATACACGACCATGCACAAGACCTTTCCATGGACCCGCCCCTTCCCCTCCCTCGTGTGCTTCCCCACCCTGCCTCCCCCCACCACGAATCTCCTCGCTAACTCATCCAACACAACACTCTCGGCCTCAGAGACCCCGCTTTTTTGAGCCAAAGTTAAAGGAGTCTCACCCCTCCAGTTCTCTGACTCGACATTGGCTCCATGTCCAATCAAGAACCGACAAACATGAGCATGTCCACCCTTGGCAGCGAGCATGAGGGGAGTGTACCCATCCTCATCCTCTGTGTCGACCCCACAACCCATGCCTGCCAGCAGCTGCACAGCACGGAGGTCACCTCGACGAGCAGCACAATGGAGCGCACAAAATCCAACACTTCGATCCCCCCTTTCCAATGCAAACTCGAGCATCACTTGCTCAAACTCGTCACGCTTCTCAAATGACTCCGACAAAGTAAACACTGTCTCCCCCTTTTTGTTAGGGAGCCTGACATCGGCACCTGCAAATACAAGTACTCGAAACATGTCAATGAAGCCCAGGGAAACAGCTGCCATGACAGGAGTGTTGCCATCTTGGTCCTGCTCATTTAGGCTCATGCCGGACTCTTTCTCAAGAAGCCTTCGCATGGCCACACTGTCACCCGACCTTGCCACGAACAAGAGAGGGGAGAACACAGTATGATCACTTGAATGGATCTTCTTCCCTAATCGGATGGCATTGAGGATGACCCGCTCAAAGTCAGGGCACCAACCATTCGATTCAGCAATCGAGAATGCACTCTGCCCCTTATAATTAACAAGTCCAAAGTCAGCCCCCACATCTGTCACCACGAGAAAGCATTCCTCGTGCCTCCCCTTCACGCACAGCATGAGCGCTGTCTCCCCTGACTCAGTGCGTGAATTAAGGTCACATTGCCTCAACACCAACTGTTGCAGGGTGGTGTGGGAGCCAAGCCTAGCAGCCAAGTGGATGGGCCGAAACTTAAGCCCACGCTTCGTCCTCACAGTGAATTCAGGGTTTGAACCAGCATCTAGTAAAATGTTGAGGGCACGAGGATTGTTGCAAAGGATGGAGTGGAAGATGAGGGTGCGGCCTTGGTGTGGAGTATCTATGGGGTGGTGATGGTGGAGGAGGGCACGGAGGATGGCTCCGGAGCACTCGTAGTACTCGACTGCACACCATGTTATGCCATAAGCTTCAGCTAACCCAGCACCAACTCGTAGCTCCTCACCAGAAACTGGATCCCATGACCAAGCACCAAGTTTGACCTCGCAGTCAGTTCTTACACCAGCCTATAAAAGAGTTGTCAATTGAGATATCAAATTAGTAAAATAAAAGCAAATGACAAAATATACCATTCTGCATGTAGCGTAATGTTCAGTGTGGTACATGCAATATAAGCCAATTTTGCCAACAATGAGTGGCTAAAGTGAATTGTTCCTGATGCTCGATTTCGTCAATGCTTTCTTGAGCACAGGTGGAGGGTTTCTTCAAACAACAAGGAGCCGAGGCAACTATTCAATCAAATGATATTGAGCATGTTCCCCGTCACTTCTAGGAAACAAAAACAAGTTGGGTATTTCTTTGCAAAATTGCACTCAATTTCATGTGGCAAGTCCACCAAGATCTTTTCATTAGTTGGGGGAAGTTAAAATCAGCCATTCATGTGGTGAATACATATGACTGAACATAATATAATAAATCTAATATATATTAATCTTTATCATGCTTGTGTGTGTGTGTGCGCGCGTGTTTGTGGATGCAAACTGTGAAAGAAATATGCAAGACTAGTAAGTCAGTTCCATACACCAGCCCAGTTCATGAGAAGAATGGCTTGTTCATGGATTAGTTTCTATTACTAAATGTACTACACAAATATAAAAGTGAGAATTTTGGCTCAACTAAGTGGGTGGGTATGGTCACAATTTCCTAGTTTGTTTTTTGCCCATACAGTTCAATTGCAAGGATAAAACAGGCAGCAGCAAACAAGTCGCTGTCAGCCAGTGAAACAACCACTTCAGTCAGACGAGTGACTTACTGATTTAGTATCTTAGTTGCCCTTTTGGAATTACTAGTAGCTTCCTAAAAGAAAAAAAAAATCCCCAGAAAAAACAATAATGGCTTACATGAATACCTCACCTACCCAACAACTATGACAATCCAATTGATATAAAAAACAAGAGTACAGGACCACAGGAGATTCTATGTTATGAAACAGTAAATTGGTACAGAAGGCATTTTAATGTCCCCGGACACTATTAGAGGTTATGCTGCGTTTTTGCTGTGAATTTATGAAAGGGCCAGAGTTGACTTCCCTAGTCCAGAGTAAAGTTAATGCTTCTTTTAAATTGTATAATAATGAATCCAAATAGATTTTTTTATCATATTACAAGCTACAACAATCAGTTATTGATCAAAAGTTTCATGGTAAATAAATAGAAGATGGAATGAATTGGAGTCACGAGGAAAAGAAGAGTGAAGTACCTGGAGCAACTGGTGCACAACAGTGGCTTGACGACCAACAACAGCAGCCACGAGGGCAGTGCAGTCAACATTTGTGTGGAGTGGAGGCTTCAATGAACGAAGGAGCACCCGGTCCACCCCATCTGCATCAACGCCACACTGCAAAACACATGCCCACCAACCTCAACATTATTTACATTCATTTCTCTTTCCCATCCAACTAACTCCTAGAAAACTTTCTACAGTTACTTTTGCAGCTCATCATAAAAATGAAAGAAACATAATTACATGCTTTTCTTCTCTTCTCTTTCTGCTTTTTTATTGTTTTCCTCTTCTTTTTTTTTTTTGAAGGAAATGCTTTTTTATCGTTTATTTACTGGTGCCCAAGGACAATTATGAAATGCCAATGTAGGCAAAACAAATGGATTCACCCATCAAAAAAGGGTAGTAGACTTGACAGAATAGTTGACTGGCCTGACTCTGAATTTGTCTAAAGTTGGCCTTGAAAGTCCCACTTGCTCCTTGGAGAACAGTTTTGCCTAGAAAGGGGGTCTCATACTTGCACATCGTGTCCAGATATTTTGGAATGGACATCCATTAGAAATGAGGGAAAGCATGAACAATATTTACCTGAAAGGATATCGCATCTAGAGAGCAACATTCTCTAAATTTAGCCTAAAGTAGATCGGGATTAGCTACAATACTGAACATGACTTTTGTCATTTGCCAGGAGCAATGAAAAAAGTGCTGTGTAAAAGTATGGGCTCACATTCTAGTGGCATCACTTCAAATAATAGAGCAATGAATGTGTGCCAGCACTAATGTCGTCAACCTTTGCCTTGTGTAACATCTTCCTTGGAAAATGACAAAAATTGGCCATACCAAGGAAATGATTTGCAACACAGAGTGGATTGTTTTACATCTTAAAATCAGAGGAAGACAAGCCACAAAGAGATCATCGGTGCTTTATGCACACAGTAGTCCCATGTTCCCATATCCTAAGAAATAAAATAGAGATCCCCCAAATAATCCCAAGCATTGGAATGCCCCACGATCTTCCAGGAATTAGCATTACACATCTGAATATAATTGAAGTAAAAGAGGTCATTCTTTTCGGTTTTTTTGCCTCATATGCATGTATGTTCAATAGATAGATTGATGGATAGATAGTTATATAGATGAATGGACAGGTAGATAGCTACATACATATATACATGCACACCCACACATATATATATATATATATGTGTGTGTGTGGGCATGTGTATGTGTATGTGTACGTGTATGTATATATATAGAGAGAGAGAGAGCACTACTATACCTTGATGAGAGTGGCCACAACACCAGTGAAGCCTCTAGAACTGGCGGTTACAAGAGCATGGAGGGCTACATTTTGCCTGATCAATTCAGAGGCCATGAGCATGTAGGCAAGGTCTGCCTGCCCATGGCAGCTAGCCTCTAGCAGTGCTTCCTCGCAGGCAGGCTGGGAAGCCCCTGCCTTCAACAACATCCCCAATATCTCCCCATTATCCTCTCTCACTGCTGCCGTCGTCGCAAACCCCCTAAACACCTTCTGATTCACGTCTGCCCCCACACTCTGCTCATTGCAATTTACACATACAAAAACTTATCATTATACATGTAAGTAACAAACACAAACACAACAAAGTTCGCCACTAATAATGCTTATCATATCAAATTTTGGGACAAAAAAGGGCCATCATACCTCTCTGCAGTTTTACATGAAAGATGGGTCATACAAGGCAAACACAACTAACACTAAAGTAACAAACACAAACACATAAAAGTACCCCACTGTAAATAGCCCATGTAGGTAATGTCCAGATCGACTTTACAGTTTGCAAGGAAAGAGGTTTCATGTTAAGATTTGTAATTTCAATGCACAAATGTGCCACCTGTGATCTTAATGAGGGTCATCATCATCATCATAGCTTTGTTTCAATTAACAGGAGTCGACTATATGAATTCTGATATGTCATTCTACTCTATTTAAGACCATACCCTCAATTAGGCCATAAGTCTCTGTATCTTTTCAGACTACTTCCAACCACATTCTTGGGTGTACCCATTGCCTTTTCCAATCCTACCACATTCTTTTTGGTGTACCCGCTGTCCTTTCCAATCTGTCTACATAGCCTTTTTTTCAATCTTTCTACTTGAACTAACTCACCCTTCTTACATGACCTTTAATAGTATCAAATAACCGGATATAATTTATATAACAAATTCCAAATAGTTGGGATAAAGATCGGATACGATGATAATAGTGTTTAATATCCAAAATCATGAGTGGTATAAGGTAAGTTTACAAAATTATTAGAAGTTAAAAAAATTCCATGTTTTCTCCACGATTGTGAGGGAAGATCCGTACAAAACGTCACCTCTGATGTAAATGAAAACTAATGAAGGTCCACCATCCAGTTTCTGCAACCTCCTTGATGACAGAGTGAAAAAAGATAAGAAAATGTTATGTACACACACGGTCACGTACCACAATTACTACCTGTGCCGACATTAATTGTAGCGTACAGGGTGAGTACAACAAACAAACAAACAGCTGTATTTTCGAAATTATATATACACGCGGATCGGATCGTGTGTATCAGACTTTGAATCTCATTGCCATGCAGTGCACCGGTCCCGACAAACACACGAGATGATGGTATCCTAGGCTAAATAACACCATACACAACAGTCGTGCATTGTGAATCCCAACCACTTCGTATGTGATGATAGACTACCATACACCTCAATAAACAGACGGAAGATGAGGACATGAGTATTATAAACCATACACTACCGGTGTAGGTTAATGATTTTATCAAGTAAAATAATGGGAAGGAAAGATCCACCTTTCTCTCCCTACATTAAAATAAAGCATGTGTCTCTATCCATTGAAAAAACGAACGAATATCCACCGAAACGAAACATTTATGAATTCTAGGAAAGTCTGGGATTTTGTTTAAATTATTGAAAAATTCGGGCCACGAGTTCTTATTTGTTGGATAGTCCTATCAAAACCGCTGTTTATAAGAAGCGACCCTTGGCTTTCCACAAAAGTCCAGTACTGCCCTTTAAATATTTTGTAAGTTATTGTTACAAATTAAATACCTTGGGAAAAGTACTTGCAGGGTCCAATGACTATATTCATTTTACCGCAAGCCATCAGATTCAGCCATTTACCAGTTTTCAGCCAAATAAAATAAGGAAAAGTTAAAAGGCGATTTTGAATAGTGTTTTTGCCCTGTTCAACGGATCCGCAACTGACCATGCGTGGTCCATATGACGGTTTCCATATATTTTTTCATGCTAGGCCATGGCTGTCTTTGATCCTTCCCTGTCCCAAAAAATTGGACGGCGCCGCCTATAGCCACTGCGATGGCTACCCAGGCTATCCTGGTCCAAATTGTCATACGCCCGGCTCGCACCAGGCCAAAAAGGCACTAGCCAAGCCCGGCCAAACCAACTAAAATTGAAGAGAATAAAAGAAAACAAGGGCTGGACCGTGTCTTGGCTGCCTGGCCGGCCCTGCCCTACCATCACCTATGACTGCCCGGCACTGGTGCGGCTATATTTCAGACCCTAGTTTTTTTAGGGCCAGGATGGGCCGGGCCTCACAGTCCATTGCCATCACTTCCCAATAGAGGACGGAAAAAGGCCAACCATGATTTTCAAATTACGAAATTTGGGACGACCTTACTTGGAAATCCAAAATGTTTTTGAGTGTCAATCACGCACGAACTTGAAAAAGAAATTCCAAAACCAAAATATGCATCTAATAATAATAATAATAATAATAATAATACTATTATTATTATTATTATTATTATTATTATTATTATTATTATTATTATTATTATTATTATTATTATTATTATTATTATTATTATTATTATTATTATTATTATTATTATTATTATTATTATTATTATTATTATTA